TTTTTTGCTATTTGTTTGTTTTAAAAGAAGCAGAAGATTTGGGATAGACCAAAGAAAGTACTTCGTCCTGCGGTACATAGTTAAACTACAGTATTTGCTCCCACAATATGTAGCGATGGTCGCCATCTTGGACGGCTTTAGACAAATTCATGGAGAGTAATTTACTGCTATTGGTGGCTGCTAAACCCTGGTGGCTATGTTCTGCCCTCACCGTTGGAGGCAGTGCGCTTTTGCGAACCAGCTGAAGTGTAAGATGACAAAGATTTTACAACTGCAAGGCCGGCCCTCCTGTTAGGCAAAGTGGAGTGGCTACCTCAGGCAGCTGATTTTGAGCATCATAAAAGGGAAGCAAATGGTTTGTTACTTTTTTTAAAAAAAAGCATTATATTTTTATAGGAGGGCTGGTGGAGAGGTGCTTGTAGTATCTTCCTCTTCACACAACAAGGCTGGCCTTGGCTCCTATTACAGATGGGCGAATTGGTCCATTTTGGCTTCTCATTTTTCCAGTCTAGAGTTCTCCGCATTTCTACACTTTCTTAGAGAGACCTTCACAAGAATGTGACAACATTTTAGCACACATTTCTCCTAATATACACATTTTTGTATGCCATTCCGACTTCATTACTGCAGACAACTTCCACTAATACAATGTCATTTTACGTAATGTCTACACCTGTGTTAGAATGGATTTTCGATGTTTTAATTCTTTTATCACTTGTTTGTTTGCTGCCCTGGGCTGCTTTGGGAGGAGGGGGAGGGATATGCATTTTAACAATAATGCATTTTATTTTCACTGTTATATGCATTTTAATGCACACTTTCTTCTAATATACTGCTTATAGATTTTCAAATGATCAGACGGTATTTAAATGGTTTTAAATAAATAAACAAACTATTTTTTGCCTATATCTGTTGGCTGGAGGACTGCATTAAAAATTTGGAGATGTGGAAATTTTGAAAGACTGCTGCATTTTTTAAAGCTTGAATTAGGTAGTTCTGCACAAAAATGCGAACCAAACCAAATTTCTCCCCCATCCCTAGTAGCATGTGGAAAGGGTGAGCATGCAGGACAGTACTTCAAACACTGCTGCTGGCCATGCCACCCTCTGCCATCTCCTGGAAACAACCAGGAAAGTGGAAATGATCAGGGGTGAAGCTGTTGCAGGGATGAACTGCTGCTACCCAGTTCTGCCTTTCTTTCTTTCTTTCTTTCTTTCTTTCTTTCTTTCTTTCTTTCTTTCTTTCCTTCCTGCATGCCCCCAAAGGTTCTGGAAGCCTCCACCTGTCCTCCTGGCCTGATCTAGTAGACTACTGTGACCTCAAAGTAAAAATTATATGTTGTTGTTGTTTAGTCATTTAGTCATGTCCGACTCTTTGTGACCCCATGGACCAGAGCACACCAGGCACTCCTGTCTTCCACTGCCTCCTGCAGTTTGGTCAAACTCATGCTGGTAGCTTTGAGAACACTGTCCAACCATCTTGTCCTCTGTCGTCCCCTTCTCCTTGTGCCTTCAATCTTTCCCAACATCAGGGTCTTTTCCAGGGAGTCTTCTCTTCTCATGAGGTGGCCAAGGTATTGGAGCCTCAGCTTCAGGATCTGTCCTTCCAGTGAGCACTCAGGGCTGATTTCCTTCAGAATGGATAGGTTTGATCTTCTTGCAGTCCATGGGACTCTCAAGAGTCTCCTCCAGCACCATAATTCAAAAGCATCAATTCTTTGGCGATCAGCCTTCTTTATGGTATATAGTCTGTTGTAATAAATGGCAGGTTGTTTGATTGTCATATATAGAACGGAGCTCTAATATAGAATTTGGTGGGTGCTGTCAAATCTGTGCATGTTATCTATCTGCCCGTTTGTAAAAACAGCAAGTTTTTAGCCCTCATGGTGGAGATACATGCATTCAAAGAGTTTTTACTAGCTGGGCAACCCATCTAAACCAAGTGAAATGTTATGCAAGCGCAAAGCTCTTTTGGAATCTGTGGGTATTAAATACGTCTGGCTAGGTACGGGAGTCAGACTATATGAGCCTCAGAAACCAACTAAGTGGCGGCAAAGTGCCCTGTAGCGTTTGGTAGGGGTGGACCTGCAGGATTTTCTGAAATACGCACTGTGCCCAGCTAACAGGGCAGCAAACCAGCTTTGATTTTGTTCCTCTTCTGCAAAGCCCTCTGTTGAGAGATGGATAAAGGCTTCTTTTCTTCCCAGTTGCATTACATCTGAAATCCCAATCTGGCCTTTGGTAACAGGATATTAGTAGCTTCGTTGCCTCTGAAATGGAGGAATGCCACTGCTGTTAATCCCATGTATGGTGATCAGTTGCAGTGCAGGTGTCTGATTTTCATTAAAATTGCAAATTGGACTGAATGCTTGATCTGATAACAAAGACATCATTGAAACCATGTGTCTTCCTTCAGAAACAGTGCAGGGGGGGGGGTAAAACAAAGGGCCCTCCAGTGTGCGTCCCCTTGTGCGTGTACACGGTGGAGAACGTGCCTTAATACTTTGGTCATGGGTGAATAAATAGCTTCTAAGGAATGCAAGGCCCAGACAAGCTCACTGCTGCTTTGGAAACAGTCTTTTGAGAGGAATAAGAGCTATGCTACATTTCCAGTTACTTGGTCAAGGAAGAGTGGAGCGAAAAGAGGAGCACATTCTCCGGTGAAATCCCATTCAACAAAGGATGCATTCAGCTACATGCTTGTGTTCGCTATGGGCAAAGCCGGACATGACGTGACAGGTGTGTGCGTTAAACAGGATCTTCTACTTTTTCTTTTATTTACAAAAAGATTTAAAAGCAAATATGGGGGTGCCAATTTGTATTGGGACCGCAGTGCCTGAAAAGAGAAAGTTTAACATTTTCCTCTTGCAGCATATTCCTGATTTAACTCACCGCTTTTTGAAACTGCTATTTGTAGGGTGCCTAGGAAAGCACTTCTAAAAAAAAGCAGGTCTGCATCGCCCAAAAAGAAAACAGAAGAGGACACCAATTTGCATAACATTTGCATATTTCTAGATGGAAATTTAGAAATAATTAGTATAATTTAAATAGAAATAATACATCTCACTGTCGTGGAGGAGACACCAAGTCTGCTCGCCAGCTGCTGCTAACTGTTGATAGGCAGCTTGAAAGCCCAGCCTTTTCTCCCTCTATCTTTAAACCAGACTTGGACTCTTAACTTCATGAGTTCGAGGCCCACGTTAGGCAGAAGATTCCTGCATTGTAGGGGGTTGGACTAGATGCCCTTCGTAGTCCCTTCCAACTCTACAGTTCTATGGTTCCATATACTGTTTTGCCCTATGACTCAGTTCTCTAAGTTGCATGGGAGGCCATTTGTTTATATAAAAAAAATTGTATTCAACTATTTCATAACAGATACCAAAGTTATTTACAACAACCATAGATATATACAATAAAAAACATGTCAATATTTAAAATCAGAGATCACCAACTATTACAGAAAGGTGTTGGCAACGTAGAAAAGTTTCCAGCAGACATTTAAAGGTTAAAAAAGGTGCCTGCTGAATCTCTATTGGCAGAGTATTCCACAGGACTGGGCCAATGGCATTACAGGCTCGGTTTGTCAGATGAGCCCCACCAATTTGGGGGATCTCAGTGATCAAGCTGATCAGGCAGTCCCTGAGGTACTTAAGCTGTTGAGAGCTTTGTAAATGAATACAAAGGCATTGAATCTGCCTCGGGAATAGATGTGGAGCCAGGGGATTCATTCCACGCCACTCCACGTTTCTTAGAATTACACAGGTAATGCCAATGGTTGCATCTACATTGCTGATTCCTGTTTCTACATAGCGTCAGATTGGCCTCAGAAGCTGACATATACCCTGATCTGCCCAACCTCCAATATGCAGGGCTCAGAATGGCCTAGGATGTGGAATGTTTGGAAGCATTCTGACTCTCTAGCTCCAAACACAGCAATCATGATTAGGCATACCAACTACTGAATCCACAAATATGAGCATATATGTACATTCGGTTTTTACCTTCACATCAAGCACTCCAGTTTCCTGAACTAAAACAGAAGTCTCTGTTTAGAAATATCAACCTGGCTCTAAAAAGTTTAGTAAAATAAAAAAGTAGGTTGGCAGCTGGGAGCTTCTGTAGCGCAAAAAGAAGAAGAAAAAAGAGCGAGAGAAAGCCTGAAGGTGAAACCCGAATACAGTGTGGATCTGGCATGTATCATCAGTGGAGACCATGGACATCTTGCGGAAATAATTCACAAAACATTTTAGTGGAAGTTCCTTCGAAATAAATGTGGCTTAATAGCTTGCATACCATTTGAGAAATAGGAACAACAGATCACCAAACCAAAAACAAGGAGATAGAAGAAATGATGTGTTCCCCAGCTCATCTGGACTTTGAATTGCACTTTGTATGAGTAGTAGGAGTTACATATTCTTCACTTTCTTTCTCACTGAGGGAATTAAATAAGATAATAGGCAACAGTGGTTTTCCAGCTCTGTTTCTGTTCAGTAGGGGAATCACTCCACCTTGTCTGGAGGCCTGTGGTGCCTTGCTTTCTGTCTGAATTAAAAGGGTGACTAGATATGGCTGAGCACTGTAACTTGTGTGCCAGCAAAGGTTTTGAAGAGTTGCTATATTTTGACCAGGAAAAAAGGAGCAGATTGCTGTGTTCTATTAATTAAGAGTTTGTGCTTAAGAAGTTTGTCCTGAGCAGGACCCGCTAGTTGAGGACAGGGGAAGAGGGGAAGGAAAGAGGCAGAAGAAACATGTCAGCCGGATGTTATGAATAAAGCTCTTCTTAAGTATTATTAGAACCTATAGACAAAGGGGTAAATATAACAGGTGCAATGCTTGTCAGTATATGGAAACATCACCGCTGCAGACAGCCAGATTGTTGACATCACATGATGTGCCTATCTGTGGGAAAGAAGAATTTCCCAGGACGTTCACAGGCTGGATAAGTCTTTGTGAAGAGTGTAACTTGAAACCTTCTGACTGCGCATGTTCAGGAAGTTTGTCAGACTTGCTGGAAGAACTGAACTGAAAGGACGTGTTTTTCTCTAGTGCTGTAATGTCAGAAATAAACATCATGTAAATAGATTTCTGACTTATTTTCTTTCCCCTGCGGAAGCAGGAGGGAGGGGTTGTGCATTTTACCCACGCTTGGGAAAATGTCGCCTATCAAAATCTCCCTGGTCTGTCCGGGAAGTCAGCCAGAGGAGGTTACCGGTATGCAAGCTCCGAGGACAGTGAGAGGGGCCAGCCTTTGTGGAGGGGGCTTGCAAACCGACAAGGGTAGCAGAGCCCGATGGTTGCAACAACAAGACAGCTGAGCACCAGGTGGGAGACTTTTTTTGCTGATAAGCAGCGATCCACGCACCTCTGCGATGCTGATTTATGGCTGGATGGTGAACGCGAATTGAAAAGTCTTCAGTTCCCTGAGAAAAAAAGCTCCTGTTTTGGATAAAACAGAGCAGAGAGAAGCCACATACTTAGCATTCCAGAGCTGATAAGAAGTTCCGTTGCTAAGCGACAGGTCGTGAGTACTTTTTGAGCTAAATTTATGAGCTGGTTAGCTTAAAGAGCAAAGAGAGAAAAGAAGTTATCAGAAACGAAAGCAAGGCTGAGTGTTTGTCAGCGACGCTTGTTGTAAACAAACTGTTGGAAAGGGACTTTCCAAAGCAGCTTGCTGATTGCTGTTGGATTGCAGCGAAGGCTTATTGTTTACAGACTCTGTGGAAGGGAAAATTCCAGGCAGCTGGGCTGACTGCCAAGTGCAAGCAGCTTGTAAACAGCCCAATAGACTTTTGGATTTTCCAGCTTGTAGCTGAAGCTGCAGCTTGGGATTAAAGATGGCTCTGTTCTCTCAGAAACTGAATAGCCAAAACTGGCTAGAATGGTCATTTGCAATGGAATTCTTGCTGGTGGGAGAGCAATTATGGGACTGAGTCCAGACCCCACAGCCTGTTGCTGTACAAGCACAGGGGGAGAAGGCTGCAGTTCAAAGTGAACTGAAGCAGCGTGTAATGAGAATTTTGGCGGAAAATGTGGATGCTTATCTTGAGCCAGTCCTAAAGGGTGCAGAAGAACCAAGCTTGTGAAGCTGGGGTGGGAAGCAAGGACCGAGAATTGGTTGCGCCAAAGGGGGAGAGCCAAGATGAAGCTAGCCAAATTCTTGAGAGCTCATCGAAAGCTGGGAGGAGCTTTGAGCCACAACAAGGAAGTGAAGGGACTGTTGCTGCTGTTGCTGTTGATGATCCTAGCACTGCTGCAATGGCTGTTGCTGATGGGGGGAGTGAAGCTCAGAAATCAAGCACCCCCACTACTATTGCTACAGAGGAGAAAGCTGTAACTCAGAATGCTGTTCGTCAGGAGACACCACGTCAGGAGAAAGGAGCTAGAGGGAGCTCTGTAAAGCCTGAGGCGTCAAGCAAAGGTCGTACCCAGTCCCAGGCAAAGCCAGATATGGCTTTAATGTCACTAAAAGCCACATCATCCGTGGAGAACTCATTTATTGTAGACACAGGATATACGCAACACATGACATCACACCGAGAACTGTTTTCTACGTTCGAGAAGCAACGCTTCACTGTGAAATTGGCCAATGGTCAGGAAATGGAAGCAACCAGGATCGGAACTGTGTATCTAGAAAGCCTGAACTTGACTATAAACAATGTTTATTTTGTTCCTGATTTAAAGTACAATTTGCTGAGTGTTTCTCAAATAACTAAGAAGAAACTGGTGTTATCCTATGATGAGGAAAGCTGCAAAATCTACAAAGATGGAGAGCTGTATCTTTCTGCCAGAGAGAAAGATGGACTGTATCTGTTAACATTTGATGAAAGTGATTATAAAATGTGTACAGCATGTGAATCTAAAATGCTTTCTCTTGCAGGTATCTCGAAAGAAGACACGAGAGGAAAGGCAACAAAGATTAACAAAGTTTTTCAGCGAGTGTATGCTGATGTAATTGGTCCTTTAGCACCATCTAGAGGCAATGCAAAATACTATCTTGTATTTGTTGATCATTTTTCTCAATATGTATGGATTTACATTTTGCAGAATCCCAGAGAAACCTTAGAAAGGTTTAAGGAGTTTTGTGATAAGGTTAAGAATGTTCATGATGCTAATATTGATTTTCTTTTCACAGATGAGAAGCCAATTTTTCTTTCACAGGATTTTCAGGGTTTCCTTGAGAAGCAAGGGATAGAGCACAAGGTTGCTGTTTCTGAAGCTGCATGGAACAAAACTGTTTGTGTAAAAGTGAACAGAGTGTTGCAAAATGGCATGAAGGCACAATTGCTGAGTTCACACTTGCCACATGAGTATTGGGCTGAATCTTTATCATGTTTTTGTTACACTTGGGTGAGAAAGGTTTCAAAAGGTATGGAATGTTCTCCTTTTGAGAAGCTGTTCCACAGAAAACCTTCTGTCACGCATATTAAAGTTTTTGGATCTCAAATCAGGACTGAAACTCCAGAAGGGGTGAAGAATGCCAAAGGCATGTTTGTGGGTTATGAAAAGGGTCTCTACAGAGTAATTTTGTCTGAATCTGGTCAGGTGATTCTCACAAAATTTCTAGAAAGCTCAGAGAGTTCTGTTGACCCAGTTATTGAGAAAGGTTCACACACAAAAGCTAGATCTTCACAGGTTAAGGATGAACCACTGTTTACTATTGGAACTGGTTCTCCGAAAAGTCCTGAGACTGAACCAGTCAGCAAGGAGGATCAGCACCCCATACGCAGGTCTGAGAGAATAACAAAGGGCGTACCACCCAAGAGGTATTCTCAAGAGTTTGCTAGTTCAGCTGTTGCATGTATTACTATTGCTGACAACTCAAGCCAGGTTAAGGGTATGTCTAAGTCAGAGACAAAGACACAACAGGGAGTTGCTAAGCGTAACACTACATTCCCTAACCAAGGTAATGCAGAAGCACTCATTCCTTGGAAAACAGACAACCAGAGAGTTACATTGGTGAAACCAGTGGCGGGTAGTTCCAAGGGTGGAACTGAAACAACAGGGGATTGTTACATGTATAACAACTGTTTGTTTTCTTCTCTGGATCAAGCTTTGTCCGCAGCTAACGATGATTCATATGGGGGAGGATGTCAGTATATGGAAACATCACCGCTGCAGACAGCCAGATTGTTGACATCACATGATGTGCCTATCTGTGAGAAAGAAGAATTTCCCAGGACGTTTACAGGCTGGATAAGTCTTTGTGAAGAGTGTAACTTGAAACCTTCCGACTGCGCATGTTCAGGAAGTTTGTCAGACTTGCTGGAAGAACTGAACTGAAAGGATCGTGTTTTTCTCTAGTGCTGTAATGTCAGAAATAAACATCATGTAAATAGAGTTCTGACTTATTTTCTTTCCCCTGAGGAAGTAGGAGGGAGGGGTTGTGCATTTTACCCACGCTTGGGAAAATGTCGCCTATCAAAATCTCCCTGGTCTGTCTGGAAGTCAGCCAGAGGAGGTTACCGGTATGCAAGCTCCGAAGACAGTGAGAGGGACCTTATTCACTCATCTCTAACAATGATTTAGTGCAGGGACCACCAACCCTTTTGGGGGCCAGTGGGCATATTTGAAATTCTCTGAATATGCTGTGGGCTCCAGTCACAAAATGGTTTCCCTGAAGGCATGGCATAACACAAAATGGCTAAGTGATCTTTATTAAGTTCATGGACTCCCTCCCCCCTTAAATAGTCCCAGGGAGTTTAAAGATGGGGCTTGAAGCTTCCCCCCCTCTAAAATTTCCTGCATCAGTCAAAATATTTCTGTCTCTTGAACCTATAACATAAAGACGTCAGTGGAACCTTTTAAAAAAAAATAATGATATTTAAGAAATCATGCAACGAATGCTTTCTCCATAGGGTTCAAGCACAGAATGTTAAGCATGAATGCTGTTATCTGTGTACAAATGAACTAGTTTTTCATGGTACTTGGGTTCCCCAAGGATAGATCCTAGATATCTCCTCTGGTGGGGAGATAAGCACTTGATTGCCATGCCTGGAAAAACTTCTCTTGAACTTGAAAGTGAATAAATGAGCCAGGAAGAAGTTGGGAGATGCCGGATTCTAAAGGAAGGATGCACAACAAATGCATATCCTTGAGGGTTGCTTTCACATATTTAAAAAAAGCTGTATCACCATTGTAATCACATAAAACATTTTAAAACTTGTCTTTTTGACCCATTCTCAGAAGTGGGTCAACTGCTGCTCTCCGGAGCTTTGTGACCCTCCTCCTCCTCCTCCTCCTCCTCCTTTCTACTTGTTCCCCTGCCTGCTCTGAGCATGCCAACAATGGCAAAGCAAAGACGGACTCCTCTACTTCCACTGTGTTTCCCCCCTCTTTGGGTGGTTCTGTGGACTAGGCTGAGAGGGCAGGGGAATTAAGTGGGCAGTGGTGCCTTGGAGTAGAGGACGGGGAGCAGAGATAGGGGGGAGTCCACAGAAGGCACCTTGCCCAAATGTCCCACTCCAAAACAAACTGGATCCAGCATCTGGACGAGAACATCTGACACCATTGTTAAGGCATCTGCACTGGCTGTTGACTACTGAGCCAGGTTCAAGGTCTGTATACTACTTAGTCCAGGGTACTGCAGGGATTGCCCAAATATCCCAGCTCGATCACTGAGATCATCTGCAGGAGCATCGTTGGTTGTCCCTGGAGTTCATAGAATCACAGCATTCTAACAACAAGTAGAAAAAGAGCCTTGGCCCAGTCCTCTGGAATGCCCTGCCAATAGGGCTCCTTCTTTGCCAACTATTAAATGCCTGCTGAGAACTTTTAGGCCCGCCCTACAAATGGTGAACATTTCCACAAATGTGGGGCATATGGGAAGGTGTCAGCTTCCTTGCAGGCCTCATGCAGGCCTACTTGGACGATGAGTGCACTTACATGATCCTTACTGAAGGTTTTTAAGCCAGAACTTATATTAGACAATCCCTGTTAACAGGATTGGCTTGGTTCAATTTCCAAAATGCCCACCTTTATTAGAACCAGAGGTCTGAAATAATTCACATGTCTTCTTTTTCATGAGACCCGTTGTGTGATTGCAACCACCTCTTCATTTCACCTGTCCCTGGTGTGGAAGTAAATTGCTGTTGTGAGAGAGCGAAGTGTGGGGTGTAGGGGAAGTTGTAGATGGGAGGCATGAGGGAAGCAGGTTCTGATCAGCTATTGTGATGGACTAGCAAAATTTCACGCATGACTGCTCTAAGAAGTCAAAACACACATGATAAACAGGATTTGGTGAGAGATTGCATGTGACACTGGCCATAGTATTGAGGAATGTAACTGCATAACACCATGAAGGGCAGTGGTGGTGAGAGAATCTAGCACAGCTGCTCACTGTTAATGGGCAAGCCAATAGGAACAACTTTCTTTCTGCTACCAGCTAGAAGGAATTTACAGTTTTAAGTTCCCTCTTTCCATCTGAGCAATCAGGAAAATGCTCTGTTCCTTCCCAAACATTCTGAACCCTGTTCACCTGCTGAACAACCTTAGAAGCCACCAACAAATGAACACTTAACCATTCCCCCCCCCCAAGTAATGCCTCCTGATTTATGGCTGGTGTTTATTAAATCTAATCTAAATGAAACCTGCCAGGATCGTTCTATCTGCACTGTGCTTTGCTCCCCCCCACCCCCGTGATAAGCGTACACAGCATGGAAATCTGATTTAGAACAAGATTACAGAGGCATAATCTCATTAACAATGACAGGCCCCACTGGCCCTTTCTCCTCCTCCTGTAGCCATCGCTCCTCCAGCTCCTTGGGAGTTGTGGAAAAATCACGGCTGTGACGATGAATTGAGAATCGCAGTGAAGCTTCAGCTCTGGTGTGACTTTCCACAGGCCTGTTTTGGGGAAGGTATCCTGTGGACTTTGTGCAAGTGGAAAAGCTTCAGCAAAGTGATTCAAGTTAAGTTGCTCAAAGGGCTCCATTTTGAAAAACGAATGCGGGAAAGGAACCAGGAAAAAATGACCAGTAACGCATGTTATTGAAATATTTGAATGGCCACGTGCAGATAAGAAGAATACACCTTGCAAAGTTCCTGGATTCTTTCAGAAACCTTTATGCTTTTTTTCTAAAAAAATTTAAAATGTTTAGGGGTACTTTCCTATTGACTCAAGAAAATCACCATTTTATAGTTCAAATCGGGAAAAATACAGTAAATGGACAAAAGCACAAAGATTCACAAAACGTTTAGGGGTATGCGTCCCCCCCAGAAAAAAAGCACTGCTTGTATGATTAGCTACTCTGGCAGTTTCCATTAAACAAGGAGCTCTGTTGGACTATTCCGCTAACCAGGCTGCTCTGGTAACATGAAACAGCTCTCTCTGTGTATATACAGTACCTGTAACCCTCCTGATGTTACTGGACTACAACTCTCGTCGTTGCTGGCCATTGGCCATGGTGGCTGGGGCTGATGGGAGTTGGAGTCCAATAACACCCTGATGTACAAACTCCTGCTTATCCCACTTTTGCTGCTGTAGTGGCCTCACGATAAAATCTTGTCACCCACCTAGCTTTCCCCTCTCAGCTTAGGATACAAGTGTAGGTGAACTAGTTACTGGCAGTAGGCTTTGGACACTGAAGGTCCATGTGAGCATAGTGTTCAGCCATTGGGTCAGGTTATTTAATTGGTTGTTATTTAATCACGATTGATGAACACGGCACTTTACAAAGAAACAGCTGTGACAGATTTCTACCCTACGGAGGGGCAAATCTGCCCATTTCCTTTTTCTCATTTTTCCAATCTGGAGTTCAATTCTCCATGTGTTCCATATCAGCTAGCAATTCTTTCAAACAAACGATTCCTTGTGGGAATTGGCATTTTAGTGTGAATTCCCCCTATTGCTGACATAACTCTATGCAATTTTGCCTAATACAGTCACTTTTTCAAAGCAATTTTCTCTTGTGTCATGCATTTTTCCACAATATATGCATTTTCTCTTGTGTCATGCATTGTTTTCCACAATATATGCATTTTATGCACCCATTATCCTAGTATATGCAATTTTTTTTTTTGCACATTACTTGGTCGGAGAACTGCATTGAAAATTTCAAGGAAGTGCCATTTCGAAGGAGGGCTGTGTTTCAGTTCGCGTATTGTTTCAGGGAGTACCGATTAGGCAGGTTTGGGTGTAATAAATGAGAGAGTGAATTGAATCTATCCCACATCCCTACTCTACCCCAAGGAATCAGTGGGTTGGGGAATGGAGTCATGGATAGGCAGAAAAAGAATATGTGGTTATTTTACGTACTTTTGCATAGTTACAGTAAGTCATAGGGACTAGGGAGATAATCCAAAGGCTCATTGTGTGATATGCTGGGCTCTGATTTAACTGCATCATGTACTGGGATAGTCAGAGGCAACCTTGTTGTGTTCCCATCAGCTGAAGCCCATGGACTCCATCTGCCTTACTTGCTGGGGAAAGCGCCCCCATACACCATCCTCAGGAAGCACATCAAGTGGTAATCTGGACCAAATTGACAACTGGCAGCTATGTGATGATTTCATCACCGGAGAAATCAGAATCGGAAGAATCTTTATTTGCATCAGCCACTAACCTTAGCAATAAAAGAAAACGAACTGAAGATGGATGTAATAACTTAACTACACTAAATACATTTTGGAGGTTTACACCAGGAATCAAATAATAGATCTTATTCTAATTGCCTCCGCTATTTTTTATTTTTATTGCAGTTTTTGCTGTCACCTGGTTATCTTGCTCTGCTAGAAGTAAGGACACAGTAGCAATGGTTGAGAGACCTGGTATGGATAGCAGTAGAGGGTAATAACCTCACTCCTCAAACCTTTATAAAGAGTGCAAGCTAGAAGCACATGAGCCACTGACTCAATACTGCCATCTCCACATGGACACAACCTTTCTTTCCAGCGGAATTTTTTGAAATTGACCCTTAAGTACAGCTGAAGGCAGTATATTTAATCTTGCATAAGTGAAAGCACGTCTGTAATTTTGAACTGTTAAATTTTGCAAATAGGGTGCCAATGTGTCAAAATGACTAGGTGGAAAAAAATCATACCATGGACAAAATTTCCTTATCGTGGCCAAATTATTCTGTTACTCAATATCATATAGGTGCTGTCTAATTAAATTACCGTATTTTTCTGTGTATAAGACGCCCCCATGTGTAAGATTCCCCCTATTTTTTGGGACTCCAAATTAAGAAAACACCCCTCAGCACTACCCGTGTATAAGATGAGCTGCAATTTAAAACCTAATTTTTTGGTTAAAAAAATCTAGTCTTATACACAGAAAAACACAGTATTTGCCTTACTGAAGTCCAGCATCACTGGAAACTTTCCAATACATGCA